GGTGCATTCTTGTCTCACTGCAACCTCCACCTCTCAGGTTTCAAGCAATTCTCCTGTCTCAGCCTCCCAAGTAGCTGGGACTGCAGTCGTGTGTCACCACGCCCAGCTAATTTTTTGTATTTTTAGTAGAGATGGGGTTTCACCATGTTGGCCAGAATGGTCTCGATCTCTTGACCTCGTGATCCACCCGCCTCGGACTCCCAAAGTGCTGGGATTACAGGCGTGAGCCACTGCACCCGGCCCTCAGCTTGATCTTTTTTTTAAGTCTTGTTATAAACCCTGTTAGGGTCAGACTAGAGTAGCTTTCACTCTAGGACCAGAAGGAAAGTTCTTACCTACGAAGGCATGACCTTTCTTGGGTGAATGCTGAGTCTCTCTACTCTAGCTGGTTGATCACAAATATTTCCCAGGCCTGTGTGAACTCTGGGAATTGGTCAGTTTACAAATCCCCAGTAATTATTATTTTCCCAGTAGTTCTTTGCCTGGACTTGTGGTCTCACTTTAACATACAATGCAGTTTTGTGTGCCATAATCTGTAGAAGACCCCTGTTCAGATTTCTAGAGTTCTTTCTCTCTGTGTAGCTTTCTCTTTTCTGGTATACTGACTCATAAATTCTGACTGCCTCGGCCTTCCTGAATCCTGAACTCCTGAACCCCAGTCTCATTCTCAACTCAGCAGGAACATCATGCTTTGTTTGGGCTCTTCCTCTTTTGACTATGGAATTTTTGGCAGACGTGGAATGTGTCTACAGACAAGAAGCCAGAGTCAATGTATGGTTTCTTCATTTTTATCCCTTCTCTCAGTAATCAAAGCCCTGTACTACCTGTAGTACAGTGTCTAAAAATAATTGTTCCACATATTTTGTCCAGTTTTCTAATTGTTTGCTATAGAAATGAAAGTCTAGGCTGGGCACGGTAGCTCACGCCTGTAACCTCAGCACTTTGGGAGGCCGAGGTGGGTAGATCACGAGGCCAGGAGTTCGAGACCAGCTTGGCCAACATGGTGAAACCCCAACTCTATTTTTAAATTAAAAAAATAAATAAATTAAAATAAAAAAAGAAATGAAAGTCTAGTATCCATTACTTTATCCGGCCATGAGGCAGAAAACCTTCACCCATACACCAGGATCCCTAACCCATGCTCCCACGAGAGCTGGAACCTGCTGCTCAGTAAATGTATAGATTTTATACCCTGTGGTGGGTTTTATCCAGTTAGGCATTTCAAATAATACTGTTTGAGTCTTTGTTTCTTTGCTTAGTATGGTTAAAAATGTGATTCATATTTGCTACATTGTAGTGTGACTTGTACTTTTTAGAAAATACACTTTAAAAGTAGTTTGAATTATGTGTAACTATTAAGCTTTAAGGCTGAATAGAACTTGTGAGGTTTCCTATCACTTAGTATAGTTTAAACTAAAATGTCAAGGTATATGCTGAGACAGGCTCTTGAGAATGAACAAAGGACAAGAAACTGAGTTGTTAATGTTCATTTTGTCTGGGAACCACCACATCTGCCTCAAAAGCTAAGTAATCATGACTTATAGTGTGGTTATGGAAAATATATGTCAGTTCAATTGAGTGAATGAACAGACTTCTTTAGAAAAAAGAATTCTCAAATCAGAGACTTGAGAAAACATTCTCAAATCAGATTGTTGAAAATTTCCCTTTTCAGAATCACTAAAAACTATGAAGAACTTTTATTTTATTAGATAATGTATTTAATCTGTTAGGATATATTTTTTACATTTCTGGAATGCAAATATAGCTTTTTCTTTCCTTTATGTCCCAGAAATCTCATTATTTTAGCACCCAGGGAAGTTTTATTTTTGTTCACTTGAAATTCATTTCTAAGTTTACCTGTAGACTGTACCTATAGCCAAAGAGGACACTTACATGGGGACAGCATGGACAAACTCTTAAATTTTCTTCTTTTTCACTTACTGGCATTCATAAGTCTCTTTTGTATTTTCTTTCTTTTTTTTTTTTTTTTTTTTTTTTTTCTTAATTGCATCTGATAGCTGTAATTGTATGGGGAGAAATGTTTCATGAATTATGCAGTCATTCTGAATATCCCACACTTTGGGTCTTTTTTGTAGTATCACAAAATAATTCTTTTTCCCCCCAACGGTGAAATCTCTTGTGTTCACATAGTGTTTAAAGAAGCAATTATAGATTTCATGATTAATCATATGTTTTCAAAAACCTAAGTAATCAAAGCATTCTCTTCAAAATCTTCTATAATTATTTTAAAACTTTAATATTTCCTCATTTCCAAGAATTAAAAGTTCCCCAAAAGAGGAAGAAAGACTAAAATTTCACATAGATTTTTTTGATCCAGAAAAAACTAATAATTAACTGATTCATTGCTAAGGATTTCATTTTTTGGTTATTAACAGAAAATGCCTATTCTGTTTAGAGATAAATATCACAGATGTGTGAACAATTTTGTATTTCATATTAACATGAAACAAAATTTCATCTTGATAGTAGAATGTCTTCATTTTATTTTTATCACTAGATTTTATATACTTTGAACCACAAATTCTTTCATCATGTTTTCTCAAAATACTTTCTTATATACAGAGCCCACTTACTTTTCTTTGGGACTAACTCATTTATGAAAAACTATTGGAGAAATCTTTTTTTTTTTTTTTTTTTTTTTTTTTTTTTTTTTTTTTAAAGACGGGGTTTCACCATGTTGATCAGGCTCGTCTGGAACTCCCGACCTCAGGTGATCCGCCCGCCTTGGCCTCCAAAGTGCTTGGATTACAGGCGTGAGCCACCACGCCCAGCCTGAAGAAATCTTTAATAGAAACCTTCAGATACAGAAATATTCAGAAATGCACAATATAGTTAGTAGTAAAATCTCGTGTGTAATTTTATTCTACAAATAAAGTATTTCTCTTCATATAGCTGATGGCTACTAGTAACTGTATGCTAGACAGCATCTGTCAACCTATGCTTAAGGGACCCAGGAACCTACATTTCAACCAAATCCCTAGTATGCAGACACCTCATCTTGTGGTGTTAGGAACTGTTGTGTAAAACTCATTGATACTGGTGTCTCAGTTATATTTTTGCCTTACGATCTCATTGTGAAAGGTTATGTGAGGTGGTGCTTCACCAGCTGTTTCTAAGTAAGGACATAAAGTGATATTCTCAAATTGTGCCTAAAAGAACAGTGGCTCAGGAAGTTTTTTTTAATAAAAGGAATAATATTCTAACAAATGAGAAACATAGATAAATAAAAGTCAAGCAAGTAATTAGATCAGTGGTTGCCAGGGACTAGAACTTGAGGGAGGGAATTGGCCACAGAGGAACCCAAGGGATTTTTTTTTTTTTTTTGGTAAGGAATGGGGTCTTGTTCCATTTTCCAGACTGGAGTGCAGTGGCACAATCACAGCTCACTACAGCCTCCAACACCTAGACTCAAGCGATCCTTCTGCCTCAATCTCCTGAGTAGCTGGGACTACAGGCACATGTCACAGTGCATGGCTAATTTTTAAATTTTTTGTAGAGATGACGTCTTGCTTTGTAGCCCAGGCTGGTCTTGAACTCCTGGCTTCAAGCAGTCCTCCTGCCTCAGCCTCCCAAAGTGCTGGGATTACAGGCATGAGCTGCCATTCCTGACCAAGGGATCATTTTTGCAGTGATAGAAATATTCTGTATCTTGATTGGTGTTGTCATATGACTGAATGTATTTGTCAAAGCTAATTGAAATGTAGACCTCAAACAAGTGATTTATTATGTGTAAATTATACCTCAATAAATCTGATTTTTTTTTTTTTAGTCAACCAGGAAGAGATTTTGGAAAGGATTATTTTCTTCATATTGCTAACTGCATCTTGAAATTATTTAGAATTACTTTGTTCTTTAAGATTTTTCTTATAAAATACAGTAATTAATATACTATTAAAATAGCATGTGTATTGATAATCTTTTAATAGTTCTCATCTGAAGTTTCTTGTATTTGTTTTATAGGGTCCACATATAGCCTCAGTTACATTAGCTGCTTATGAATGCAATTCAGTTAATTTCCCTGAACCACCCTATCCTGATCAGATTATTTGTCCAGATGAAGAGGGCCCTGAAGGAACCATTTCTTTGTGGAGTATCATCTCGAAAGTTAGGATTGAAGCCTGCATGTGGGTAAGATATGCATTTTCATACTTGTTTAAAACTAACCTCATCATCTTGATAGTGTGTTGTACTTTATTGAAATGGAATCTAAACATATTCCTTATCAGTAAATGATTCAGTAAGCAACCAGCTACCTAATTCCAAGGCAAAAGAAACCTTTTAGAGCATCTCCTATTCATGAATGACCTTGAGAAGAAAGGCATGGACCATATGTATCACAAAGCAACTGAGACCAAGTAGACTGCAGCAGGAAAAAAGAGTACAGATGATGGAACTACAGTTGAGCCTTGAACAATGTGTGGGTTAGGGGTGCCAACCCCCCTGTGCAGTAGGAAATCCACATATAACTTCTGACTTCCCAAAAACTTAATAACTTGCTCTGGCTCAGTTCAGATCCATGTTGTTCAAGGATCAACTATATATTACATTATAAAATTTGTTCTAGTATTTCTTTTCTTTTTCTTTCTTTGAGATGGAGTCTTGCTGTGTTGCCCAGGCTGGAGTGCAGTGGTGTGATCTTGACTCACTGCAACCTCCACCTCCCAGGTTCAAGCCATTCTCCTGCCTCAGCCTCCCAAGTAGCTGGGACTACAGACATGCGCCGCCACACCCGGCTAATTTTTTTGTATTTTTAGTAGAGATGGGGTTTCACCATGCTGGCCAGGCTGGTCTCGAACTCCTGACCTCAAGTGATCCATCCCCCTCAGCCTCCCAAAGTGCTGAGATTATAGACATGAGCCATCACGCCTGACCTTCTTCCATTATATCTATACCTGATAAACTCTTAGAACTTATCTAAGAGTTATATAAAATATATATAAATATTAGATTGGTAAATGTCATATGTCTTACTTTTTTTTTTCTTTATCGTACGCTTCATGAGTTTGCGTATCATCCTTGTGCAGGGGCCATACTAATGTTCTCTGTATCGTTCCAATTTTTTATTATCTGTGCTGCTGAAGGGAGCACATGTCTACTTTTAGATTAAAATTCCGTGTTCTGGCCAGGTATGGTGGCTTATCCCTGTAATCTCAGCACTTTGAGTGGCCAAGGCAGGCAGATCACTGGAGGCCAGGAGTTTGAGACCAGCCTGGTCAACATGGTGAAACCCCACCTCTACTAAAAATACACAAATTAGCCAGCCATGGTGGCGTGGACTTATAATCACTTGAACCCAGGAGGTAGGGGTTGTAGTGAGCCGAGACCCACCACTGCCCTCCAGCCTGGGCAACAGAGCGAGACTCCATCTCAACAACAACAAAATACTGTGTTCTTAGAGGACTCATTTCATTTCTGAGTTATTATATGCTAACTAAAGTAAGGTCGGATATTTCTTAATATAAACCAAACCTTATTATAGTTAAAGTATCAGGCTATATGATTGTATATGGCAATTTTACTTTCAGTTGTTCCAGTTACTCTTTTTGTGGTTTTCTTAAGTTTATTTTACAGAATTTTTTAGACAGCATATTCAGTGGTGGATGGATTCTAATCCACACAATTTTTTTTTCTTTTTTGCTGTATGCCCAAATTTATTCAGGTATCCATTATTGAGGAATAATCCATTATTGAGGTTAAAGACTTCTGTTGCCATTTGAGTTATTTTTTAACTCATTTGGATTTGTTATGTTCCTGTAATTTTTTTTCCCACTAGCAATTTCTTAGGAAATCAAAGATTATCGAACATATCATTTACAAATCTTAACTCACTAAAATTAGCGTGAATACCATACCCTCAGAAGCAGCAGAGTTTTGAAACACAGTAAGTGTTAGCAATTATGTTTTGCTTTAAAAGAATTATAAAGGAAATACCATAGCGTTGAATTTGTTGAATACGAAAGACAGGAAAAATTGTCTTGTTTCCTGTTGCTCTTTTATAAACTGTGGAAACAAATTTATTATACTAGTTGCATATGCTTTATAAATTTGACATTAGTCTTTTGATGAAAAAAATGTTAGAATAACAGAAGATACTTGGAACATTCTAGAAGAGGGACTTTGTATATCAATTGGTCCTTTTTTTCTTAATATTATACTTTTGTTTTTTCAAAAATTATTTACATTGCTGGATTAACGTTAAGGCCAACAAATGAAAACTGCTGTCTCAGCTGGCCATGATAACTGCCTCTTACAAATTTCCATAGTGTATATTGTCTAAGTGGCTTATTAGGTCTGGCTTCATACATGTTTTAAATTAGTTAACTTGGCTGGTATGGTGGCTTTCTTCCCCAAATAATATTTAGGATCCTAAAAAGATAAAATATACCTTAAATGTATTAGCATCACAGTAATCAACATTAAGTTTTGCACATAGGGTTGGGCATTGTGGCTACTAGCTCCTGTAATCCCAGCACTTTGGGAGACCAAGGTGGATGGCTCACTTGAGGTCAGGGGTTTGAGACCAGCATGGCCAACATGGTGAAACACCATCTCTACTAAAAATATAAAAAATTAGCTGGGCATGGTGGCTCACACCTGTATTCTCAACAACTTGGGAGGCTGAGGCAGGAGAATCACTTGAACCTGGGAGGCATGGGTTGCAGTGAGCCAAGATTGCACCTCTGCACTTCAGCCTGTATAACAGACCAAGACTCCATCTCAAAGAAATAAATTAATTAATTTTTTAAAAAGTTTCAGACGTACTATAGGAATGTACTGATTAATAGGTCAAATGTGTGCTCTTCTTTACTTCTTTGTAATTGTCTTGTCATATCAAAAATATAGCACACACCAAGTTATGTTTAGATTTGTTAATATTGTCCTCAACATTTACAAGCACAGTCTTCAATAAATGGTGCTGGGGGCTGGGTATACAGGCTCATGCATGTATTCCCAGCACTTTGTGAGGCCGAGGCAGGTGGATCACCTGAGGTCAGGAGTTCGAGACCAGCCTGGCCAACATGATGAAACCCTTTCTCTACTAAAAATACAAAAATTAGCTGGGCATGGTGGTGGGCACCTGTAATTGCAGCTACTTGGGATGCTGAGGCAGGAGAATGGCTTGAACCCAGGAAGTGGAGGTTGCAGTGAGCTGAGATTACGTCATTGCACTCCAGCCTGGGTAACAAAGCAAGACTGTCTCAAAGAAAAAAAAATGGACCGGGCGCAGTGGCTCAAGCCTGTAATCCCAGCACTTTGGGAGGCTGAGGCGGGTGGATCACGAGGTCAAGAGATCGAGACCATCCTGGTCAACATGGTGAAACCCCGTCTCTACTAAAAATACAAAAAATTAGCTGGGCATGGTAGCGCGTGCCTGTAATCCCAGCTACTCAGGAGGCTGAGGCACGAGAATTGCCTGAACCCAGGAGGCGGAGGTTGCGGTGAGCCGAGATTGTGCCGTTGCACTCCAGCCTGGGTAACATGAGTGAAACTCCGTCTCAAAAAAAAAAAAAAAAAAAAAAATGGTGCTAGGAAAACTGAATATCCACATGCAGAGGAATGAAGTTGGGCCCTTACCTTATAACATATATAAGAATTAATTCAAAATGCATCGAAGACACCAGCCTATGCAATATAGTGATACCCCATCTCTACAAAAAATTTTCTTGATTAGCTGGAAATGGCATGAGTTGAGCCAGTAGTCTCAGCTACTCTGAAGGTCAAAGTGGAAGGATTGCATCTTTACAAACTTCACTATCGTATTGAATCAGCAAAATAATTAATATACATAGTTGTTATAAAGAAGTTCACTCTGAGTTTCACGTTGTTCACATAGTTCTTTGGAGCACTTAAATTATTAGTTTTTCTTTTCAGACTGAGTCTCACTCTGTCGCTAGGCTGGAGTGCAGTGGCACAATTCTGACTCACTGCAATTTCTGTTTTCCGGTTTCAAGCAATTCTTCTGCCTCAGCCTCCCGAATAGCTGGGACTACAGGCACGCACCACCATGCCCAGCTAATTTTTTGTATTTTTAGTAGAGACGGGGTTTCACCGTGTTGGCCAGGATGGTCTCAATCTCTTGACCTGATGATCTGCCTGCCTTGGCCTGCCAAAGTGTTGGGATTACAGGCGTGAGCCACTGTGCCCGGCCAGATTTTTTTTTTTTTTTCTTTTTTTCTTTTTTTGAGATGGAGTTTCACTGTTGTTACCCAGGCTGGAGTGCAATGGGGCGATCTCGGCTCACTGCAACCTCCGCCTCCTGGGTTCAGGCAATTCTCCTGCCTCAGCCTCCTGAGTAGCTGGGATTACAGGCATGTGCCACCATGCCCAGCTAATTTTTTGTATTTTTAGTAGAGATGGGGTTTCACCATGTTGACCAGGATGGTCTCGATCTCTTAACCTCGTGATCCACCCGCCTCGGCCTCCCAAAGTGCTGGGATTACAGGCGTGAGCCACCACGCCCGGCAGATTTTTTTTTTAATCAGTAAGGCACCTCTTACAGTGTGTTTGGCATCTTTTTGAACTTCTACAATTTAACTCTTTCACCAGTGCAAGGCTTCTCAAATTATCTTTTCATTTTTGAATTCCACAAATAGTTATTAAGCATCTAAGCAACAGGGGCTCAGGGTGAACAGAACTTAAAAGTCTCTACCCTTATTAAGCATTATATTCTACAGGGGGTGAGGGTAATAATTATGGAAAAATGTATATATAAATAGAAACTGTGATTAGTGCTGTGAGGGAGAAATCTATGGTATAGCACTAGAATTTGCTGTCATCTGAAATTCAGGAAAGAGTTCCATAAAGAATCAATTTTTTTTTCTTTTTTTTGAGACATAGTCTCACTCTGGTGTCCAGGCTGGAGTGCAGTGGCATGATCTTGGCTCACTGCAACCTCCACCTCCCGTGTTCAAGTGATTTCATTGGAACTTTGCATTTGAACTTAGTAGAAGTTCATGTTCATGTTTTGAGTAAAATGTTACACTTCTGTCCTACTTTTTTCTGTGGAAAATTTTTCAAAAGTGCAGAGAATTATAAAATGAATTTAATATACTTTCACTCAACTTCAGCTAACATTAACTAATAGTTAATATTGTTGTATCTATACCCTTTCTCATTGTCTTCTCAATTATCTTGAAGAAGATCCCAGATAGCATGTCACACATCATCTGTAAATATATCAGCCTTGGGGCCTAAAAACCATTATCACACCTAAAAGAAACTATATTAGTCTCTTAAATTTTCTGATTATATTTATTTCTTCTCAAATTTAAGCTAAAGAAATTGTCAAATAGTTTCCAACGGTCTGAATTTTACTGATTAAATTCTAATTAGTATAATTCAAACATGTTGCTCTGTTCCTTCTGTTTCCTTTGAGTTGATAAATTGTGTTTTTTTGTAAATAGGAGTATACTTCATAGCCTTGTGTATTTCTGTCATGAGATAGAATGTTTGTTTGTCCTTCCTTTTTGTGATATTAGCACCATGGATGATTTTTTTATTACATAAGGCCATTATTTTATTAGAGGTTATAAAATATTAGTATCCCAGTTACACTTTTATTTTTTTACTTTTTTTTTTTTTTTTTTTTTTGAAACAGAGTTTCACTCATGTTACCCAGGCTGGAGTGCAATAGCGCGATCTCGGCTCACCGCAACCTCCGCCTCCTGGGTTCAGGCAATTCTCCTGCCTCAGCCTCCTGAGTAGCTGGGATTACAGGCACGCGCCACCATGCCCAGCTAATTTTTTGTATTTTTAGTAGAGATGGGGTTTCACCATGTTGACCAGGATGGTCTTGATCTCTTGACCTCGTGATCCACCCGCCTCGGCCTCCCAAAGTGCTGGGATTACAGGCATGAGCCACCGCGCCCGGCCCTATTTTTTTACTTATTAACGGGAGACAGAGTCTCGCTCTGTCACCAGGCTGGAGTGCAGTAGCACAGTCACAGTTCACTGCAGCCTTGACCTCCCAGGCTCAAGCAATCCTCCCACCTCAGCCTCATGAATAGCTGGGACTAAAGGCACAAGCTACCATGCCAAGCTAATTTTTTGTAGATGGAGGGTTTTTCTGTGTTGTCCAAGCCGGTCTT